AAAACTCGGGGGGAAAAGAGAAATACGGGGTGGCCCTGCCAGCCGACAGTTGGAGGATGAGAGGCCCTCTTCCTCTGAGGACAGGCCTGCTAGAGAGAGAAGAAACCTCCACTCTTCACTTGAGCTGCCTGGACTCAGGGGAGCAGAGACTGGACAGCCCAGGCTTCAGAGTCTATTCAGAAGTCTACATCTCACTGTTGTTTACTTTCTCCCCGGAGATCCAAGTGTCTTCTGCTCCCAGGGAAGTTCCTTCCTGCTTATTTGTTTGAATGTTCATTTTTAAAGCCTAACTTACCCTTCTTAAACTAATATTCTTAGTTTTTTCTCCTTTTCCCTGCTCTATCCCCTGACTTTACATGAAACAAGTTCATTCTAGTTTACTACCCTTTCTGGAGTCCCTTTTGACTCCTCCCCAACTCCCACGTAATTGAGAGTGTATCAACCAAGTGTAAAAATAGCTGGCCTTTTCCTTGTGATTGGTCTTTATTAGTCCCTTAACTTCTCTAGCTCTATGGAAGCTATCTGCACGAAGTGTCCCACTGTAGAGGAGGGGTCAGAGTGGGTGAGTAGGAGCCCTTGTTGGAGGTGTGGGTCTCACAAATCTGAGCCTCCTTCAGTACCTCTATTCCGATGGGCTTCATGCCTCCAAGGGGGCAGAATCTCTACTGTGGAGAGAGAGAACAAACTGAATGCTTTTGTGAGAAGGGAGGGTGGAGTGAAATCCTCTGCACGACTAGGGGAACACATGGCCGAGTCCTCAGGGCTGTCTTTGAGGTAAGTGTAATTAGTGGGCCCTGCTTCTTTTCTTTACATCCCTCCTACTACACCCCCTTCCCAGTTGCTGTGGACCAATGCATCTCTAGAGACAAATACTATCCAGCAGTCTGTCTGCCTTGTCTTTTGCAGTTCTTCTCCATGCCTTCCCTGCTACAAGTGTTTTTAGATGTTCTACCTTACTTTCCCCAAATTCTGCTCCTGTACTTGTAAACAGAAAGTAACTGTATCTGGACTTAAATCCTAAGGAAGCAAGTCGCCTTCTGGGCAAAGGCTCTCCCTCTTATCATTCCTCTTCATGGCACCAAACCACATCCCTGTGCCTCTGTGGAAGTCCATTACTGCAGCACTATGCCTGCCAGGGTTCTTACAGAACCTGAGGGAAAAAGTGGTGGCTGTCCCTCCCCAGTAATGTCACTGTTTTTATTCTTCCCTCCTACAGCTGGCCTAACCACTCTTGAGTCGGGGGTGGGGGGTAACCCCCAAGGAGGAAATAACTAAGAGGTTATTCCTGGGATAGCTGGTGGTTGTGCCTTTTATAGGCTTCCCTTTGCCTTAAACCTGAAGATGTTTCCTCAAGCCTGTGGGCAGCATGCCCAGATCCCCAGACCTTAAGACACTGTGACAGTTGTCTGTTGGTCCACTGTGTTTAGTTGCAAAGATTTCACCATGTGTGTTGTTTTTGTTACTGTTTTAAAGGGTGCATATTTGTGATCAGCATTGTGACTTGGAGATAATAAAATATAGACTATAGACTTGACTCTGTTGCCAGTTTTTATTTGTATCTTGATTGGGGAAGGAAAAAAGAGACTCATTTCACTACAAAATTACAGTCATAATTTGGCCAGCTCAGCCTGGTAAAATGGAAGGTCATCGAGGTAAGGAGCCCCTGTGAGGCCCCAAGTTTGAATATGCTTGCTAACAGTTTCTCATTCTATCCCTCTTTTTTGTTGTTTATTGTTTTTAGGTCAGGGGCTCATGTAGCCCAGGCTGGCCTCTTAACTCACCTTGTAGCTGAAAATACCCCTCAGTTTCTGATCCTATTGTCTCCATTCCCAGGTGCTAGGATTTCAGGTGTGTACTGCCACACACAATTTCTGACAGTTTTTTTTAAAAAATACATTTATTTATTTATTTTTGGTTTTTGGGACCTTGTCTCACTATGTAACCCTGACTGGCCTGGAACTCACAGAGATCCACCTCTGCCTCCCAGGCGCTGGGATTAAAAGTGGGTCACTATGACTGGCTTTTAGTGGTATCTTTACTTTCCAAGAAAGATTACAATCTGAAGCTGGGAATAGTGGTTCTTGTCTGTAATCCCAGAACTCGGGAGGCAAGTGGATCTCTGTGAGTTCAAGGCCAGCCTGGTTTACAGAGTGAGTTCCAGCCAGGTGTACAAAGAGAAACCCTGTCAGGGGTGGGGTGGGGGTAGAGATGGCACTAAAATACCAAGGCCCACAGTCTGAAAGGCAGCTACCAGTCTTAGTACTGGTAATGATAAGGAAAACAAAGACCACCAACAGGTTCATGCTGCCTTTCACTTCAGACCCTGGAACACACAGGGTAATTACCACTTTTGAATTAACTTTCCCTGGGTGGAAGTTTACAACTTACGCAAAGGTCACCCTGGTATGAAAGAACATATGGGTGTTATGGGGCTGGAAACATTTGTTCTTAGTTCCACAAAGCTTTACACTGGTGTGGTGTGGGTGCCATTGGGACATCTTCCCTCTGTCCCACAGGTGATGGGTAACTATATCCCTGGTCTCCTGGGTCATACAAAGAATGCCAACCAACCTTGGGGGTGGGTTACTAGCCGGAAAAAAAGAATGTTAGGATGCTTCCTTCTCACCTCTGCCTCTTTCCCAGTCCTCTGGTTAGATCCCATTGCTCTCTCTGTTGCCCTGGTAACCAGCTCAGCAAGAAGAAACTCAAGCTCAGCAAAGCCCTCAGGTTTTTCTCCGCTCCCCCCCCCCCCCCCCCCCCCCCCCCGCGGGGGGAAATAATGGGAGCTTAAGGGGCAGATGCATTACTGCCTTGGGTAGCCCTGTCTAGTACATTTTTTTAGTTCATGGGTTGGGCAGGCCCAGTTAAGCTTGTTGGCCCCCATTTTCTCAGTTAAGTAATGTATACTACCCTACCTTTCTCTTTACTTCTCTCTCAGTAATGCAGAACCCCCCCTCCCCAACACACACACACCCTGGGGCATCAGTTCATGGACCTACCTTATAGGTAACTCAAAACAGCAAGGATTTGCAATTGCCAGATCACCTGGTACCTGCTAGGGTTGACCTAGAGCAGTGATTTTTTTTTTTTTTTTTTTTTAACACTGGCTATTTGAATCACCTGGGGAGCTTTCTAAGTTAAGAAGCCTTGGGCCTGCCTCAGGATCTACCTCATAATTGATCTATGGTGTGACCCAGGCATCAGCAATTCTAAAAAGCTCCTCTGTGGTTCCAGTGTGTAGCCAGGGTGGAAACCACTGGGTCTCTGGTAGGACCACAACGTAATGCCTCCTTTTCTTCTGATTCAAGGTCTTGAACAGAAGGGTCTGGAAACCAAGCCTTTAGTTTCTAGAAGTCTCTCTCAGTCCCTTTATTTCCAGCCTCCACACCCTTTACACTCCCCAATTTTCACCCTTCCTAACCGACAATCCCAAAATCCTGCCCAGAGAGGAGGTTACCAAGGCAACCGCTTAATCTGGTAACTGTGGCATGTGCAGAAGAGAAGCCCTCCCCTCTTCTTATTTGGTTCCTAAAAGGTTACCTGGGGAGCTTCAAGAAGCCTTCCTAGCCAGTTTCTACTTTCAACCTTAAGAGATACTGAGTGTCCAATGAAGGGAGCCCAGAAAGTCAATGAGACCTAGTTTCTTAGCTAAAGTCAGAGCTATTTTTTGTTGTTGTTGTTCCCTTTCCAAATCCACAGATGGGTGTGCAGAGCTTTATTTCTGTGAACACATGCTCTAGCACACATGGAACTGGGTATGCACAGACAGCAACCCAAGTGTAGTACACACCCTGTCGGTTCCACCACTCCCAGCTATTAGCATTCCTGTTCATCCATGCCTGGCTGGTGCCTAGTGAGCAGGGCTGGGGCATTGTCCAAGGAGCTCCAACCCACTAGGAACCTGGTGCCGCTCCCTCTCTTGTGTATACCTAGTTTGGATGTGTTCACCTGTCTCTATAGCCTCATCCTCTAAGTGCAGTGTGCCCTTGGTGACAGAATGCACTGGCATGGCCATCAGGAGTAAAGGCAACATTTCTCCCATTCCTTGGCTACATACACTGAACTGTCTGTGCTTCTGGACAATAGCAGTTTGGGGACCTACTTCCTTTTGCTACCACCTGGGCTAAGGTGCCCTTGTGTTCTTAGTCTCCTCTTGCTGCCTGCTATCTCTTTTCACCCCAGTTAGACCTGCCATGACCTGCCGGTCTCTGCTCTGCCTGGCTCTTTCCTACCTGCCGGTACCTGCCTTACAGGGCGGCCCTGCACCACCTACTATACCCTATCAGAAGGGTGTGGGTACCGCCCCCAGTTCCAGTGCCAGTCCACCCAAGACGCCGTCCCAGCCCTTTTCACGGGTGGGGGATAAAGATCACATAATTGTGGGACAGATCAGTCTTTTAAGCCTCACCTATGTACAAGCAGGCGCGTCAAGGTGTAATTCAAAGATCTGCCCTGGTTATTTGCAACGATAGTAAGAGACCCGGTAATCGAGACACAGGAGTCCTCTCCGTTGGTAAATCCCTCCCTCGCCTTTGCCCTTAGTTTCTGCGACTGTCAGAAACCAAGTCCGAATTTTCCTCGCGGTCAGCACCAGCGCGCCCAAGTTCAAGCCTCGCGCGGCCGGGTTGGGGCGGGCCTAGGCAGGGTAGGGGCGGGGACTGGATGAGGGGGCGCGGTCTCAATTCCGGGGACACCGGCCTCTCTGCCTGCCCGCCCTTCAGCCACAGCCAGCATGGGGGGCCGCTGAAAGCGAGCTCCTCTCCCCTCTGGCACCTTCCCCGGCCACTGGCCACTGGACTCTGGC